GCAAAGTGGGTCACATGTCTTTCTGCCAGTACAGCTCCATTTTTACAAGAATCTTTGAGGATATAAAGTTGAGATAGTGTGACGGTCATTCTTCATGTCATGGGCAATGTATACCGACTTATTTAATGTTAATAACATTTCATTAATCAAGCTAACTGACCACTGATTTATTCAATAACAACTTCATTGCTAAGTGGAGGTTGGGTGCCTGAGACATCCAGGGGCTTCCACTATTGGCAGCCAGCTCCTAGATGGAGACTGCTCCTATGCAAAACAACTTTTACTGTTAACGCTATTGCTGTGAAGGCTGCCAACACATCTCAGTCCAAGAGCACATGGAGTCCTGGTGTATGCACATATAGGTGGAGAAACACCGCTGTCCACCACAGGAATGGAGGTGCTCTTTGTTGTTAACTCCGTTAAATTGCATTTAACTGCTTTTACAATCTGGTCACACTATCTTGTGGGAATCGTCTACAATGTTACGTACCAGCACAAGTTGGCAGAACTGATGCCTCTTAGAGGCTTGGGAAATTAACATGTGCAAAACTCCACTCAACCGCGACAAAGGCATGTACCTGTCCCAAGAGTAGAGAGCCTTGACTCTATTGGACACGAACTAATTTCCTAATATATTCAGTTTTTAACAGCGACTTCGCGATCTTTAATAAACTTGTCACTTCATTACATTTTTTATTACCCCTGAAGAGGGCTTACGCTAGGGTTTTTAAGATTTTTAATAGCTTTTCTTAACCAGCTGTAACATTTTTATATTAATCATGGAACCACCTGGTTACAAATTGAAGGGGTGAGTGCAAAACCATGCTAAATGACGATTCGGGTGAAAAAAAAAAATTTTTCGCGAAAGGGCTTGAATTTTCGCATGTGGTCTTCAATGTAACAGAAAAACCTGGTCCTGTATTTTTCCCGCTGGTTTTTGCTTCGTTTATAAAGGCGCCGCTAGGAAAACCGAGTGGTTTTTTTGCATACGCAATATCTCGAAAACGAAGCAAAGCTTAGCAGAAAAACTACGGGACATTGCTAAACATACCTAAACAAAACTGCATGCGAAATTTGGAGCG